GGGGGGGGGGTCTTGCCCTCACCAACGGGATCCATCATCCTAACTTTCTTAATTTCATCTGTTATTGTTGTTACTTTGGTATAGTATTTACTTATTATTTCAAATTTGAAATTGATTGTAAATATTCGCTGAATAAATAAAAAATTAAAACTATTTAAGGCAGATGAATGACTATACTCACATCATCTTTATTATCTTCTTCTTTGACTGAATGCAGTGAATCACTGGGTTCATCTTTTGCCTAAAAGAAAGGGAAAAAAAAAAATCTCAATTAAAATTGTAGTGAAAATGTCACCAAGATTTCCTTCCAATATCAAACAAAAAATAGAAAAGCTCTACTGGATATAAACTTATACTGAAAGTGAACTTGCATGCTAGCCAGAAATGAAAATTTAACACGCAAGTGTTACATCTTTGAATATGTAATGTGTCAGTGTCTTCTATGCTCATGATTAACATCCTATTTATTATTAACAAAATATTTTAAGAAATATTTTATTTAAATCAGAAGCTTCTCCACTGTTTACTCTCCTTCAATTTAATTTTATTGTTCCTTGACTACGTACCATTGTTTATTTCAATCTAGAATAGTGATTTATTACTCAATTTTATAAGAAACAAAGATGATTTGTGCTATTGTAACTCCTTGCAACAAGAAAATACCAAGACACCTAAGATTGTGTTAGGCAGGTTATCACAATACTTAAATGGGGACTGATTATAAATAATGAGCAATTAACATTTGTTATTAACCCTAGCAATAGAGTGTAAATCATCTTGGGCATTACCCAGAAAGCACCTATGGAGCCCACCACTGCTATTTTGATTAAATCAATATTTTTTGTCTATGTTGATGCATTAATAATTTGATATAATTAATAATATACATATGCATTCATTTACACAAAAAACCTTATTCACATTCTGACTAAGTAAATGAAGAAAAAAAAATCAATAATTGTATTTAATGACAACACCCATGACTATAATTTTGTTACAAAAACTGATATATAATTAAAATATAGTAAAGAAATGAAAAATATTAGGACCTCAAAAACAACAAATTTGTTCTGAACGTTCAGTTTTCATGTGAATGTTGGTTTTTTTTACTCAGAGCCAAAGACATTGCAATAATTCAAATGTTAAAACACACTTCTAGTAAATTGCGTCATAGTTTGATCAAAAAGCACATCATGAATTCAAACAATTTTCAGTTTCCTAGAAAAATTTGAATCTGTAAAAAGCACTAAAACAATCATTGCCATCTCTGAAGCCCCCTTCTCTTGGGACACATATGTCCCTCAAATTTTTGCATTAATAAACATTTTGTACAATTGAGAAATAATAAAAAAAATTCTATTAACTTTGAGCAATAATAACTCCCAAACTGTTAGCAATGTCTGGATCTAATCGATTAAAATAATCCAACATTTAAAAATTTATTTTCAAATATCAAAGTGATTTACATACCGACAAAATTAATCAATCAATGTATACTTCAACAAAAAAAAAAAACTCTTTGAAAAACAAAAGACAACAAAAAAGGAATGGTTGTTTCCACCCTGAAGTTCTTAAAAAGATCTGTTACAAAGAAATCTGGATTACGCATGATGGAAAGAAAATTAACAGTAGCTCCATTACTATTAGGGCTCCGCAAGCTACAATGGTATTAAAAAACCCACAGAGCATGGGAGCGGGAATTGTAAATTGCAACCTTTTCCTTTATGTTCTACATCACACAGGAAGGTGAGTATCAGAACAAAGATATAAGAAATAACATGGAATTTCCTTAGTAATAGAGAAAAAGAGTCAGATGACTTGCTACTAAGTTTAGAGAACATGTTATTCTTCAACTAAAACTTAGATAGAATCAGCTTTTATTGTACTCTTGGGTACATATAACAAACAAAATAATGGCAAGTTTAATTATTAAATGAAGATTAAGTAGAGCAATACTTTGTTAGTTCCCACATGATTTCGTTTATTCACAAACACACAAAAGATAGGAGGAAAATGATAAAACCCATGTGGAGCTGGCAATTTTGTCGTCAGGGACATTTGAAACTTTAGGAGGTTATGACCAAAGAATTGAGTGGAGAAACAAAGACCATCATTGCTTATCTTACACAATTTGAATGAATCCTAGTAGTGCTCTAGAAAATGTTTTATTGTCCAATTTCTGTCATTTGGATTCCCTCGTGTGAATATTTTAGGGTATGGAAATCATGCATAAGTAACCTAATTCTGATTTATTGATTCTCACAAAAAAAGATGAACAACAACATCTACAAACATTCTGAGGTATCATTATCTTGTGCAGACGTAGGAAAAGACAAGAAAAATATAAACTCCAACTTAAAAAATAAAAATGCAGATGTCCATAAATATATACATCAATGCCCAAAAGCATAATGATTTAATAATTGCAATTGAAGAACAGGCACGAACTCAAAGCTGTTTACTAAAACTTACTACTTTGCATGCAAGTTATAAAGACTTTCACCCACTCTTTTTTTTCTTCTTCTAGTTCTACTACTCAAAACAATGTAAGGAATTTGTTATAGAATAAATTGCCTGACTCTTTTCAGTTAATATCTTTAAAGAGACCAATTACCATTATTTTGGATCAATAACACTACTTTAAAACTAACTCACAATGGAATTCCAGCAATAGTCTTCTTCGTTGTCCGCATGCTCTTCTTTGATCTGGAGATAAAAATAACAGTTACAATATGGCATATACAACAGATTTTTCAATTTTAACACGTAATTAATTAAAACAGATTGTCTTGAAATCCAATAGCATGTAAAGATTTCAATTCAAAACATTTTATCACACTGGCATCTAATGTTTGGAGTAATCCTCCTTTAAACTAGTCAGTCGGTCATTTTCAAATGCATTACAAAGAAACTTGGTTGTTCTACTTTCATTCTCTTGAAAACAATAGGAAAAAAATAGCTACCATGCATTAGAAAATGAAAAAACTATTGGAAGAAAGTGCCCCATGCAGAATGCGCATAGCAGTTGAATGTGAACATAAACCTCAGTTCTGGCAAACATTCATTCTGTAGTACTAAATTGTATAAAACGGAAGCTTGTGACGTGGCAAAAAGTCTGGTCCCTTGAGCTTCTGCTTTGAGAAAGTTTAACTGCATTATTTAATATTTTCATATTCATCCATTCCCACCATCAAATAAGAATATTCTTTCTGGGACTGTTTTAGATTTTTATTAATTTAAAATATTAAATTATTTTAAAACTTTCTTGCCTCCCAGTTCTCACAGTAAAATAGTATTAATTCACTATTTTATGAGGGTAAAATCTAAAATAAAAAAATTTCTTCAGTGTTGTTCTTGAACCACCGAAATCATTAAAAAATTCAAAAGAACGTCCTCTAACTGGGAAAAAACCATTAACGCTCAAAAACCTTCCGAGCTATTACTATGGAACACTAATTAATATATTTTATTAAAAATTCTATAAACATATTATTTTCATGCCAATTTCAAAAAGGACAAATACTAATACAAAATTACGAAAATCTTTTAGCTATCACCTCCTGGTAAATGAATTTTTCTCTTTTTTTCCTAGTCATAAATAGAAAATGATTCTAGAAAAGAAAAAGCTTCGAAAGATAGAAATTATTGCAACATCAGTATTGTACTAGAAGTGCAAAGAAAGCAAAAATGCAATGTTCTCAAAGTACAAAGAAAGATATATGTAATTAAGAAACAAACTTGTTTTCCATATAGACCAATATCTCCGCACTTGCCATTCTTTGCAGTCATTGAGGCTGGGATATTTTTTAATTTTTACTGAGAATTCTGAATTAACCATATTTTGATGATTTATCAATGACTACTACAAAAAAAAAAATTAGTTAAAATTAAATTTCTTTATTGGATTCTCTCACAAACAAAAAAGAGAGAGATGAAATGCAATGGAGAACTTTCTCAATATCATAGCTATTTTAACAACCAGTACATACTATAAGGTGTTTCTTTCAATAAATCCTCCTGAAAATGAATAACTGCACTGAAAATGTGATTAATTCCATCAACTGCGTCGCACTTCGAAAAATTATAGGTGCATAACATTGCACCTATCAATAACATTGCTTTCTTATTGAATTACAAACCATTATTTTTGCCACTTTTATCGAATTCTTAAAGTCACTTAAAAACATATGAAACGAACAAGAACTGTCTACCTCTTCAACTTTTATAATATTTTCCGCTAGAAGATCTGTCTCTTCCATCGCGATCAGAATTTCTTCAGTCTGAAATAATGTTTTGTCTGATTTCACAGCAAGACATCCTTAATACTTCGGTACTACCAAATTGATAGTACGACAAAAGCGCGCCACGGTAAGAAGCGTCTCAAAACATCCAAAACATAAAACGGCCACGATGGTGGCGTAGTAAACCGCAGGAGGAAAGAACTAAGAGGCGAGGCGGGCGATTAAAACTCTCACTTTAATTACCACATCCTTTTCGGTATTAATTGAATATTATTTCCATATTATTATTTATTAAGTTATTGTAAAAGTTTACAAACTGAATTCGGAAATGAAACGAGATTACACGGACAAATGATATAAAGTGAAAAGAAAAAAAAAAATTTGCAGAATTTAAAACATATGCAGGTGCGCCAGAGAAACTTACCTATTTGAAAGGTCAATAAAAACAAAAGTACTTCAGTTATTGTTTTAATTTTTTTTTATTTGAGAATAC